GTTTAAGCGCGAAAAACACGATATTTAATAAATAAAGGTAATACACAAAATGTAAAAAAAACGCACCTTTAGACGCAATTTATATTCTGAAACCTTTCAGATTTTTTCCTATTATTTTTAAAATTTTTTCTTTAAACTAGGGATAATTCTATAGCTGTTAATGAAAGCTATAATTTTTTCTGTGACTGTAAATCGAGACCTCACAAGGGACTGTAAAGAGTGTCGCCAATCTAAAATTCATAGCCGCAAGTTTTGTTTGTAATACAATAAATGTGTCTAATATGATCGCATTTATTGTTGTCATTCGAATATTGTTAAGATCCGCCTATTTGTGAAAATACATCGCTTATTATGATCAAATCGGTTATTCAAGAGTGAATTTTTTAAATTGAAGTAATGTCGCCATACAAAGGATAAAATTGCAAAATAAGGTCGAAATGGAGGAAAGTTTTCGCCAAATGACACTTATGTCGCCAAGTATCTTGATTTTGATTTAAGGTAATATTAAAGTTTTGGAAACGCGTCTAATAACAATAAATAATTTCTTTAAACATGCCAAACTTTTAATAAATGATAAAATAGCAGAAGATGAAGAATTGAAAAAGTCTCCAACTAGCATGAATTGTGTGGAATTCAATGCTTAGATAGATGCTGACGAAAAGTCTGAAGCTGCAGATTCAGTGATAGAAGAAGGTATATCTGCGTATCGCTTTTTGTAACAATTCCAAGCTATCATGTGATTAACTCTCTGAAGAAGATGATGACAAATGATGAAGAAATCAGCGAACTTTCTGCAAATACTGAGGTGAAGGGTTCTAAGTATTAAAATTAGCGGGTACAGCACTGATCAAATTATTTCTACAAGCATCATGAATTGTTAAAAAAAAAAAAAAAAAAAAAAAAAAAAAAAAAAAAAAACGCATAAGAATTTAAGGCAATCAACTGACTTTTTATTAATTAAAATGCTGTGAAAGGAAGCATTTATATTTTCTAGTTATATTTAGTTAAACTTTATTGATATTTCGAAAATTACTTTTCTGATTGCTTAATGTTCTCATTAGGTTAATGCTATCAAATAATCATGAACAAACGTGATCACATTCATCAACGCGTATTGGAGTTAAATTAAGAAATCAGTTTTTCTTTTCCTTGAATGTGTTCTACCTTTTCTTAATTTAAAATACACAAGCAATGAGTCCAAAAAATTACGCAAAATATCTGGTTTGGTTTATTTGGTTACGGCTAAGCATACGAGGGCTATTTGCCTAAGGGGAGGGATGTCTTCGTGGAGGACTTCTCTAAGGAAATCTGGCTCGTATGCACGTTGCACATGGGAAAAGCACTGAAACGCCCATGCAGTCAGCCTGTTCGCGGGATTCGTAACTCGGACTGAACCACCAGTGTTCAGCGACTTTACCGCTCGGCTGCTGGTAGGCTTGAAAATGTCTGAGTGGATTAGCCGTTATTATGTAACTCTGACGTGTTTAGAGAGTAAATACAACATAGATGATTTTGGATTAGAGACATATAAAATTTACCTGATATTTAGATTCAAATCCTTCCGTAACAAATTCGTTTCCATTACTAATTTCATAGCAAAATCGCCCACCAGCCACCGAGCGGTAAAAGCCGTTGACCACTGATAGTTCCGACTTGGATCGATTCCAAGCGAACGAGCTGGCTGTATGGGCGTTTTCGGGGTTTTTCCTATGTGTAGCGTGTATGCGAGCCAATTTCCCTTAGAAAGTCTTGCATAAGGGCCTCCCTCTTACATGAACTAGTTTCTCTTAGAAATGCTAGTTTCCCTTCTCCTATATGAGCTAGTTTCCGTTGTTATTGTTCGTTCCTGTTTGTTCTTTAGAAAGTTTTCCAAGAAGGCATCTCTTGCCTTAGGCAGATAGCTCTTGCGTGCTTTGCCATAATTAATTAAATCAAACCAATGCATAACGAAATCACATCTTAATATGAACAGAGCTTGTCGAGCATTAATTTTAAAATGGCGATACTGTTTGTAGTTCATCGTAAACTCAGATTTGCATTCACAAAAGAAAATTTTGTATAAATTTTTTACAAATGCACCAAGGTTCCAATGATACCTAACAAATCAATTTTTTAAAAAGTAATTTGTTTATTTATTTTCCTCATCCAAGCATTTTGTTTGACTTATTCATGTTAATATTTTTCCTGGTGTTTTATTTGTATTTTATGCGTACAGTATTATCATCAGCAAACAGAAGACAGATGTTGTTAAAAATTACCGCTGCGGAGGAATTATCACAAAGGAATGGATTGCAAAGCGGCAAAATTTGTTTCCATTCATTTCCTAAATTAACATTCTGTTTGCCGCTCAACCGGATAGTGGTTAGTGACTCTGACTGCCGTACCGAACGTTCCAGGCTTGAATCTCCCAGAAGGTACGAATGTTTGTGTAAATGGATAGCATCTCTGCAGCATGGAGGCATTCTAAATATGAGGCGAGCCAAAAATCCTCTCGAGAGGTAGATGGTAGGGAAAGAGGGGTGAGAGACCTTCGAGCACATCCCCTCGAGTGTCTTCTTCAAAATTTGGGGCGGAACTAAGTTGTACTGCCTCTTTTATGGTGCCCCAGGCCCTTGCCGACGACACGCGCCATCTTGCCACGATGAATTCATGGCCTTGCTCTTGATATATTAGAAGCAAGTTTAGTGACAACAACATTCTGTTTACCGAGGCTAAACTTATATGAATTTCAGTTGAAAATCTGGGATATCAAACTTCTAAAACCCACTGGGCTTTTAGTTAAAATTAAATTTCCGCTGGTAGATGGGAAACTGGCGTACTTTAACAAACTTCCGAAACAACGGTGATATTCTGTTTTGTTTTTCTTTGTTTTGATTCAATTGTAATAATCATATTGTTATGTTTGCTTTTATCCTGTTAATACAATTGTGCCTGCAACCTCTTTTACTTGATTGCGTAATTATTTAGTTAGCGGTATAAACTAGTCTAAAGAAATTGGCTAATTGGCATGTTATTGATTATACACCTGATTTTCCCTTCTCAGATTGTCAGTGCTCGTTTCTTCCGGAAAGAGGTTTAATAACAAAACAACTGAAGAACAATAGGTTTTAAAACTTTGATTTAAGAGATACTTCTGTCAAGGAAGTAGTTAATTACTAATAATGAATAAGAAGACGTTAAAATTATCATTTCGCTGTGCACACAGTGACATTATTTTATTCTTATTATTGGCATTATTTTATTATTGTCTGAAACTGACAATCAAAACAGCTCTGCGAAACATCCGTGAAAAATGAAATTGTTTTGCACTTTCTCAAGTCAAAACAATTTAACCAATCAATAATATGTTTTGTCAATCAATATTGCTTATCTGATATGTATAATTTAAAATAGGCTAGACGATGCTCATGTGAACTTTGATCCTCAAATTTGTTTGGCATTTGGCAAATTCTTTCTGAAACTTAAATGTCGAGTTGGGAGGAATTATTTCTAAGACTGGCTCTCCTGCACTATTATGATGTAACGATTAGCATACCGAGAAGCTCTGAGTCTGAAGAGTCTCCGAGGTTTATTCCCATGAGTCTCTTATATTCCCATGTGTTCTCTTGGATTTCTTAGGTTAATTAATATTTTCTGTCTTGTTGTTTACATCTGTCATAGAGAAATGAAAATTATTTTAATTTCAATATATGTATTAATAGTGTAAATCTTACCAAGTTTGAAAAAACTTGATAAAGACTAGACTATTAATTCCTTTATATGATTCAAACTATATAAGAATTCAGCTACAAATTCTTTTACATGATTTAAATGATACTTATTTGTTGATTAGCTTGCAGCTCTTTCTGCCTTTTGTCTTAATTTTTTTTAGTTTTATAGGTCCTTCTAATTTTTAACTTGAATTATTTGTTAGACTTGATTGTTCTCAAAAGAATGCTGGACAGAAGCAGGATTGAACTACTTAAGGATTACTGAAAATGGCTGCATCATTGTACAGCTGTAGAGTCATTAGGTTATATTGAAGTAGGAGTACATGAGCAATGCTCTTGCCGGGATTCGAACCTAGACCTCTCGAATACGCGCCAAGTGTGCTAACCATTACACCACGAAGGCATGTTGGAAGGAGGAAGAAAATACCTTATACAACACTTTTCAGAAAAATATAATTTTCCTCTTAACATTCGGTCTAAGCTCTATTATCTTTTCTTGAATAATGTCAGAAGTATGAGTTAGAAAATCAATTCTAACCGCAAAATATTTTATTAGCCCAAAGAAGCGTTAGCTCATAAGGGCTCTTAGTCTCCAAACGGGATTTTGCGTTGAAATCACTGTAAAAGAGTTAATCCCTTTTCAAAACTGTTGCCTCCAAATATTATCGCCCTGTATTACTTCAAAAGAAATTAAATAAAGGATAATATGCATTAATGTAAGTATGTTTCTTGCATTGTGAAAAAACAACAGTATCTAGAGCCACCCAATTTTGAATAACATAATCATCCACCCGAAATATTGAAAAAACGCCGCTTTGAACGTAATATAAAATCTAAAAGCTTTCAGATTTATTATTATTATTTATTTATTTTACTCGATTTCTTTTGTTTTCTTTATTGTCCTAGACTTTACGTCAGTAACGGTGCTATTATAAGCCAGTAACGTATATTATAAGCTGATTCCCATTCTTTAGGAAAAGTTCAAGACGTGCACGGCCTTATACATGGAAATATGAAAATTTCTGGTCAGCTCTATAGTTTAGAAAATATAGAGTAATTTTTGTTGCACAAAAGACCATAACCACATTTAATGGGAACATCTCAGGGCAGAGAAAAATTTATGTTATTGATAAAAAAATATAAATAACAAACAATTATATAAATGAGTTTCGCAGTGATTCTAAATAATTTTACTAATTCCTATTTGACTTTAACAAATATTCCTCTTTGCTAAAGTCAAGCAGGAATTAATTAAAAATACTTTCCTATTCTTAATAAGTATAGTGGTACCTCTGTATATGTCATTAGTCCGTTCCACATCTTTGGATTTATACCAAACTGGACATAAACCAAACGAACTTTTCCTATAACAAATAACAGGAAAGTGATTAATCCATTCTTATAAAAGTAATCCTTTTGTTATTATTATAACATCGTTTAATACTAAAATACAAATGCAGTGTACGAAAAATATACTGTATATCAGGCATGAACAAACTATGGCCTGCAGGCCCGCTCTGGCTCGTTTGCAAGTTCTACATTTTTTATACTTACGATATTACAATTTTACTATACAATATGCAATATTATACATTAAATATTACTATGTTACCGTACAATATTTTGCATAATATGCATCATATATGGGGATTTCGTTAAATAATGCAGCTTCAAGTTTGTGATGTCTCATTTCCAGACAAAAAAAGTATTTTGAGACTGAAAGCTTATGTCGAAAAACGCCGACTTCTGGTGTCGAAACTATCAATAAAGATCTGACGTCTCTCTGCTCCATAGCTTTGGATGAAAGCACTTATACAAATAATGCTGTTCAACTAGTATCATTATTGGCCCAAAGTTGACCGAGGGGTAAAGTCTCTGAACACTGTAGTTCGGTTTGGGGCTCGAATCCCGATGAAAGGGATGATTGCGTAACATTTTCGAGGTTTTTCCTCTGTTTAACGTGTACATGAAAGAGTTTCCCTTACAAAGTTCTCCACGAAAGCATCCCTCTTCTCAGGCAGATAACCGTCCAGTGCTTTATCCTAATTAAATAAACCAACCAAAAGACAATTAGTATTATTTGAGAACTTCAAGATTACTGAGGTATGGGCATGCATACAGCCGTTAAAATAAACTAAGACAGAAGGTGATATGTTTCGTGAATTTCTGGAATTGCTTTCAACTTTGTAAGTAACTGTGACAAACATATGTAATATTCCTCTTGATGGAGCACCCAGTATGGCAGGAAAAGAAATCTGCATTTCTTGGAGTTTAATCAAACCTATCTTGGGAGCAATGCTGTATATCAAGATGCTCTGTGTAAATCTGCATTGAATATGAATCCTGCGCTTAACATAATCTATAGGCTTGTAATAAATACTATTCGATCTTGTGGACTTACTCATAAGCTCTTTTGTGATTTTCTTCAGTCCATACAATCTGAATGCTCTGGCGAATTTGTCAGCTGAAAGATGACATTGTGTCATTCATCCATGAGAAACAGTGTTCGGTGAAGTGTGAAATATTGGAAGATACAGCTTTTTTTTTCGGATTTGGCATTTTCACAGATCTTCTTTGTCATATGAGCAACTTAAATGTCAAAATGCAAGGAAAAAATATATTTATCGACGGTAACTGGGCCCATTTCAAAGGTTTTGAGCTAAAACTTGACCTATTCGCTGGACAGCTAACTAAGAATTACTTGTATCGTTTCCCGAGGTTACATTCTATATCCTGAGTAAATGATAACAAGCTTATTAAGACAGCCTGAAAAAAACTGCATTTTGTGTCTGAAAGCAGATTTCAAGATTTCATTGCCATCGAAACAGAACTAGATATTTACGGAGTAGCTTTCAGCATTAATTGAGAAGCAGTGACGCAGGATTTGCAGCTTAAATTATTTGAGTGAAAATCATCTCAAGTAGCTGCTTCTTGGTGTTCCAAAAATTTAGAAATTTACAAATGGTTATCGAAAGCAAACTTTCTAGATTTAATATTACAAATTTCATATACCACTCTAAAAATTTAGTGCTGCGTTTGTTTCATCTTATATATGTGAACAAGCGTTTTATACTATGAATCTTATAAAGAATTCTATCAGAAATAGAAGAACAAATGAGCATATAGCATTACTTCTCAGAATTTGTACATCGCAATTTGAACTGGAATTTATTGAACTTTTAAAAATGCAGTTGCAGTTTAATTTATCACATTAATATTTGTATCTGTTTTTAAAATTTTAGAACAAGTTATACTGGCCAGCTAATTTTTATTCTTTTGTTTTTTGATCCGTCTCCAAAAAAGTTTGCCCATTACTCTGCTATATATAAATGAAGCACTGCACATGTGCTTCATTTATGTAGTGTACTAGTAGTGTATATATTTATGTAGTGTATATTTATGCAGTTTAATAGTGTACGTAAATGCTTTCCTGCTGTTCAGATTAAAAACAGTCTGTTGTTGTTGTTATCGATTTTATCCCCTTCACAAAGTTAACCAATTTAAAAGCTTTTTGTTTTTCACAATTGTAGACACCTTCATACTCGGCATATGTCGTGCAGAAGCCAAGCCCAGGATAGGCTTTTCAACAATCTCTTTCTTGCATGTCCATTGTAATCCTAATAATTTTTCTCGTTGTTTGGCTTATGTGATTAGATTTCCTAAAACTCGTTTTTGATGAATTTACAAATCATTTATGCGAAAAAACACAAAACGTCCTAAAAATTTTAGAGTTATAGCTGGAGTTGAATACTGAATAGTGGCAACAGGCGTACTGACACTATTGCGCGGTCGTAGCTTTGTCTAGAGGTAAACAAGTGTAGTCCCGACTCATCGAACTCGAGTCAGATTCCAGATTAATATAATATATCAAATAAAATTGTGTGTCCTAACTATATGAAACAGTACTATATCAAACTAGACATATTTCAGAGCGAGCGTATAAAGAAGTAGTGTAGTGTTTGGATAATTTTAAAAAGCATTTAATATCTCGATTGCTAATGTATAGTTATGTCAACATTTTGACACTGCATTCAATTTGGGAGGTCCAACTATAAAATCGCTGAACACTGGTAGTTCTGTCCGAGGTTTAAATCCCACGAAAGGGGTGGCTGCATCGGCGTTTTTGCGGTTTTCCCATGTGTAACGTGTTTGCAAGCCAGTTTCCCTTAGAAAGTCCTCTACGAAGGCATCCCTCCCTTTAAACAGATAGCCTTCGAGCACTTTGCCATAGTCAAATAAACCAAACGAAACCAAAACACTCAGTATGGATTTGGTATTGAATATTTAAATTCATATTTTTAACACTGTAGAGACATTAGGTGTTTTTTTTTGGGGGGGAAGCAAGAGAGATTGAAATATTAGCAACGCCTTCGCCGGGAATCGAACCACAGACCTCTGGAAAACCGGCCCAGCGTGCAGAACCACTACACCACGAAGGCACGCTAGGAAAGTGGAAGAAATACCTTATATACTCCCCTTTTCAAAGGGCGACTGGGGTAGACTAGAATAGAAGAGAAACACGCTAATGTGACAATCAAAATCGTAAAAACAACCTTGTATTTAGCGTAAGTATAATGAAACACTCAATCGATTTCGAGGGCAGCTAAAGGTCCCTCCTCATCAGGAGAAAGAAATATCTAGATAGAAGAAAATAAAGGAGAAGGAGTCTCAGAAACACGTGGTCCTTATCAGCCCTGCACGTGGTTATAACTGGATTTTTAATCAGAGTTGCAGAGTTTTAATCTCTGCAACTCTGATTAAATTTAATCAGAGTTTTTAATCAGAGGCGACTGGGGTGTTTAGGCGACCCAATCGCCAAATCCTGGGTGTGAAGAATCCTCATCCAACACCCTTTTAGTTCGGGCGCCACTGTAGAGACATTAGGATTTTTTTTTTTTTTTTGGAAGCAAGAGCAAAATGAAAAATGAGCAAATGCCTTCGCCGGGAATCGAACTACGGACCTCTGAAATATTGGCCCAGCGTGCAGAACCACAACATCACGAAGGCACGCTTGGAAAGCGGAAAAAATACATTATAACACTAAAATCTGAAAGAATATTTTTAACAAAACTATGCATTTTTCCAGCTTTCCAATCCAATTTCATAACCGTTATTTGAAATTTTATATTTCACCTTTATTCCGTCAGTGTATAGCGAATCTGTACAAAACTCTGAAAGTTGATTAAGAAACTTGTCTAAGATATAAAAGTTTTTAAAAGCAACTTAAGTCGGAAACTATTTCCTCTCAAAGTGGCAACAGGTTTTTATCAAATCAATCTCATTTCACACTTTACCGACCGTTGCCACTTCTTAAAACTTAAGTTTTACGATGACTTCTCAAAAGCAATATTTTTATTCTTTTACTTTTCCCGTGGCCTATCCTGTCTCATTTAGTTCAAGTTGTGTTTCTTCCGAAAAATTTTTGCTACTTTATTTCGGGATTTATCCGTTGTTACGGTCGTGTTGTTTCTTTTAGCTGTCAAAACTCGTTAAAAACATTTGGAAATGTCTGAAGACGGCGCTCTTTTGGCGTCGATTTGTGATTTTGAGTTTTAGGAAGGAAGAGAAAGCTTCTTGATTAGATTTTTCAAGTGCATTTGAATTGAATTTCGCTGTCGAGCCACATTTTCGACGCTTTCCTGTCGTGAAGAACGAAGAGAATATTTTCAGAACCACATTCTGATTTGTAAAAAGTTTAAATAGCTGAGTTGAAACAGATTTTAAATAAGTTGGAGTCGGTGCACAGTGTCGATAAAAGTATTTTAAATCTTTTTGAATTTTACAGTCTTCCAGATGGGTGCGTAAGTAGTTGTTCAATGTCGTGCTTGACATGAAATCAAACTACACCGGTCCTACGACTTATTTTTTCTTACGCAACCTTATCCTGTCCCATATCTGCATATGGGGTAATTATTTTTTTTTCACATTTTCAGTGCTTGGCAACCACTGCTAAAATGTTTTAATTGGTTATTGCAATATAAATTGCTGTTAGTAACTGTAATTACATTATAAACTGTAATAAACGATTTATAATTTATTTTGATGTAAAGAATTTTAATGTAATCCGCAATGAAATAAAATAATAATAAATTATTTTTGATGAAAACACATTCAAGTTGATTATTTCAAAGACATTTAGGTTTATTAGAAGTCAGATTTCAGATATAACTCAATTCAGAGATGGTGACAGTTTTCTGCGTGAGGAGAATTTCTTTAAAGTATTCCTCCGAATTAATTTACAAAGAGAATTAATCCGAATTAACTTAAAAAAAATTCAGTTTTAAGGTCCAAAACTAGTAAACAAAAGAAATGCAGTAAAAAATAGCCCAGATGTTGAAAAATTTCTCAAGTGTGTACGTATTAT